AGAGAGAGATAATATGAACCTCACTACTAGGCACAAAATTATGCTTGGTACCAACCAATACCATTTTCTTATAATATATATATATATATATATATATATTATATAATATATATATTTATATATATATATAATAATATATATAATATTATTATAGAGAGAGAGAGAGAGAGAGAAATATGGGTATGCTTGGTACAAGCAACAAAAAAAGTTGTGCTTGTAGTGAGGTGACACAATCCCCTCTACTCATTCAAATGATTGCATATCCCATGCACTCCTCAACCCATGTGAATGGTGATCCCCTTATTTGAATGAGTGGATGTGATTGTGGCACTTACTATCAAAGCACAAAATTGTGCTTGGTACCAAGCATACCCATATTTCTCATATATATAATATATATATATATAATATATATATATATATATATATATATATATATATATATATATATATATATATATATAATATATATATTAATGAAAGGATCCAAGAATCATTATTCATAGTACATTAAATTACTGTAGCATTGTTACTGCAGCATAAACAAGAAGATCCAAGAGTCACTATTTATGCTACAGTAAATTACTGTAGTGTTATTAGTGTATCGCCGGCGGGAACTGCAGCGTTTTAAAAAGCATTACTGTAGTATTTAAAAAAAAATATTATTGTAGCACTTATAAAAAACTGTATCTAGGGTCAAGATGATTCTCTGATATCGTGTTAGGAATAGAGCTTTTGAGAAGAAAATACTTTTGGAGAAATGAGACATCTGAGGAAAAAAAGACTTATTTTGTTTTTATAATGTACTGATTAAATACTAGAGTAAGAGGAGAGGTTCTAGAATTCTAATTGATATGAGACTAAAGTAAAGTAAAGCCGATACCCTAATACTACTATATCTAACAATCCTAGAAATAAACAATTAGAAGAAACGAAAGGAGTATTTGCTCACATTGACCTGTGAATTTATAGATGTATCCCTCTCTTTTCTATTATGATGGACAAAGTCATTCGAGGTTTATGGTACCCTTTGTTGGTTTTATGTGGTAGTATGGATATAGAGGTCGTAATAAGATGAGAAAAGAGATTTTTATACATAAAACGTTCAGATAGAGACAACAGCGGATGATGAGACAAGACGAGCATCCATTTCCTACACTTTCGTGGAATTTATCGTTCCCAGACCGAAACAAAGGCGCCCACCGTTACGTAGCAATAAAAACAGCCGAAACCGACACGCCCACCGTTATAAGGCACAAGTGAGAGACCCCCAGAGAATCTCCATGCGCTTTAAAAACTCAGTCCACCCATTTTCTCTTCAAAGTCATCAAACTAAGGGAGGGAAGAAAAACAAAAATTCAAGAATTCAAGCGAACGAAATGGCGGCGGATAGGGCGACGGTGATGGTGGTGGGAATCGATGACAGTGAGCACAGCCTCTACGCTCTCCAGTGGACCCTACTCCACTTTTTCTCCGGCAGCACTGCTGCTTCTGCTTCTCCATTCAATCTCATCGTTGTCCACGCTAAGCCCACGGCTTCCTCCATCGTCAGGTTCGCTGGCCCTGGTATTTTTACTTTGACCTGTTTTTTTTAATTAGCCGGATAAAAGTTTTGATTTTTAATGATTTTCTAATTAATTGATCGATTCATTTATTTGAAATGGAACGAAGGAGCTGCTGATGTGGCTCCGTACGTGGAGGCTGATCTGAGGAAGACTGCTTCCAGGGTTTTACAGAAAGCCAAGGATCTCTGCGTTACTAACTCGGTACCTTTTTTCCCCCTTTAGGGCGCGTTTGGTTGGAATTTTTTGAGCCCGAAAGCCTGACACTGTGTCAGACTTTCGGGCAAAAACACATCTTTTCACACCCGAAAGTCTAACACCGATGGGACATAGTGTCAGGCTTTCGGGCCTTTTCACACCCAAAAACAACCAAGCAAACGCGCGTTGTGTATTTATGATACAACTTGAAAAGTTGTTGTCCACCTCATCAATTTTATTTTTATACTTTTCTTTGTTTGTTTTTTATTCCATTGGAATCATAAATTGCTTGTTTGGTTTGCAAATATAACTTCAATTGTTTGTTTGGAAAGTGTAAAAAGTGAGGAATCATAAATTGCTTGTTTGGTTTGCAAATATAACTTCAATTGTTTGTTTGGAAAGTGTAAAAAGTGACCCCTACTCAAATGAACATATTGGTTAGAATTATTTTTTATTATTTTTTCCTGACTTCAATGTCAGTTTTCTTCTAAAATCATGACTTTTTTTTATGAAATTACTTTACAAACCACATCAGCATATGAAATCACTTTACACTATTTTCACAACTACAAACAAACAATTAAAAGTGATGAAAGCTAACATTAGGACCCACTTTTTTATACTTTCCATCCTTTTACATGGTAAAAACATACAACCAAACAGCCCCTTAATGCTAATATTAAAATAGAATAATTTTCACAAAACTACTGAAGTTTATAAATTATATTTTTTAGTATAAATAGCACTCTCTTTTATCTGCTATTTTGCTGATAAATTTAGATGATACTGGCCTTATAATCAATGTTACAGAAAGCGCTAAGTAACCTAGGCGTTAGACCTGACGACTAAAACTTATGTGGGGCTCAGGTGGTTTTTCTTTTTCTTTTTAATTATAATGATCGATAGCATATGCCAATGTTATTGAAAGCTAACGGTCAGGCTAGCGCCTAGGTGGATTTTTTTCCATTTAAATGGTGGTGGAGAAGGTTTTGCTGAAGGTCGAAGGGGATAGCGGTGTTCATGGTTAGAGGTTGGAGGAGATTGGAGGATGTGGAGGTTGCAATGGAGGAAATAGTGATTAAGACCTAAATGGTGTGGTCCACTTAGAAAGACTATGCTCCCCTAGGCACCCCAAAAGCTAGGTGAGCAACCTAGGTACTGCCTATGGGCTAAGCGGGTAGTTTAGGTACTGCCTAGGCCTAGGCATACGCTTAGGCGCGCTATGCGGAAGTTTTTTTTAAAAATCTATTGCAAATTTCAATGTACTATATGAAATTTTAGTTAGAAATAGCAAAATTTTTAAATATTTTCTATTAACGATGGTAACGAGTTCTCTGGGAACTATAAAGAATTTCAAAAGTTATAGTAGTCTGGTGAAAAAGCAGAGAAGTGTAATTTAGCCTTTCAAACGAACTATTTCCTAATGTTTGGTTGAGTTGCTGGGCTTAACCAATTTGTTATAAACTTCTTATGATTAATTTGCGCAACAGTTGTTGAAAATATTAAGACCATTTTAATTATATGCTTAACTTACTTGACCAAATTTCTATTCTTTTATATGGGATGCTCCTGCTTTATCCGTTCAGTTTAGTTATATTATGAATTTATGATTACTTGCTAGGTCGGTGGCGTGCTGCTCGAAGTAATCGAAGGAGATGCAAGGAATGTCCTATGTGAGGCAGTAGAAAAACACCAAGCAGATATCTTGGTGGTGGGCAGCCATGGCTATGGAGCAATAAAAAGGCATATCTTCGATAGTTTCCATGTCAATTCTTCAGTTAATTAGACTATATTGTTCTTAATTTCTAATTTACATACCTACTAATTTTGATCATCCTTGATTATATGCAGGGTTGTTTTAGGAAGCGTCAGCGATTACTGTGCTCATTATGCTCACTGCAATGTGATGATAGTGAAGAAGCCCAAGCATAAGCACTAATTTCTCTATCCGAATGTTATCAGGTTATCTAACTACTTGCTCCTCTCTCTATTGAGAACAGAAGTATTGAAGGTTAATGTGACTGCGTTATGCTTCTTGTCAGATGTTCGATATTTAAGTAAATGTAAATGTATCATAAGCCTTCGTGTTTTATTACAGTTTTCTCATGTAGTTCTCTTATGTATATTTTATCTGAGACAATATATTAAGTGAAATTTAGAAACTTAGAAAGTGATTTTGCTAGCAGATCGGCTCTTTTGATAATTGTGCTATACTCGTCGCACACTGCAAAAGCACTTCATCGATGAGATTCTATCTCGTTATGTAATCAACTAGGTTTCACAAATAATGGCATAAAACTCTATTGTAATGATGAAATATGAAAAATCTTAAAGCTAAAACTAGCTCTAATGCGCCCTTCAGATAGAAACTTCAGCATTTAGCCTCCTTTAATCCATAGGCCAAATAAAGGAATGTTAGGTCGGTAGCCCCATCTCTGTAGTAAGCAAAGACAATGCTGCTATCATCGTGCATGCTTTCTCCCACAAAGCTACATAAAGAACTCTAATTAGCAAAAGCAAATAGAAATGACATATTTGTATTATGAGCATGAGCATAAAATTATTAGCGAGAAGTTTCAAAAACTTACAGCTGCAAGTCTTTAAGCTTTGAAAGCAGGAACTTAGTGGCTCCTTCGATATTCTTCTTGAAGGCCTCTTGTTTATCAGCTTCCAGTTTAGGTGTCAAAAGCTTAATGCATCACTTAATGTAAGTAACAACTTGCTTTTTATCGAAAGCTGGTTGCTCCTGTACAGGAAATTTTGGTTAAACCTAAGTTCTTGTAGGGTAAAGAAGTATCGACTGAGGAGATTGAACAACCTGAAGCCTGAAAGCGTCCACAATGTCGAGAACCTTTACAGCTTGATCACCAGCCCCTTCATCTCCATCTCCATCTTCAGCTGAAGGGTTTGCACTGATATTTACGTCTATTGCCCCTTGTACAACCCACTGTCAAAGTTAAACATTCACCATAAGAAACTTAGGTTATCAAAACATCATCCAGAATCAAGAAAACATTTAGCTTCTTCTCTGAGTCAAAACATGTAATATAGCAATGAGGTAAAAAAGATTGAATGAGAGAGATACCATAAACAGTTTCTACTGACCTTTCCTTCAACTTCCAACAGCACCCCACTTTCAACTTCCTTACAGGGAAATGAGTCAGACAGAAGTTCATCGCCTGAAATTGCATTCAAATTCAGCATCATTAACATGTCACTAGCATTTGATGTGGTTAACAAATTTATATTACCAAAACATAAAAACACTGCAATAAATTAGCATTAGGGACATGAACTGAACCAAAGTGGACCAGATAATTAACCAATAATATAACAACATAAATGGTTCAGGATACACATTTGACATATCATTAGATAATTTTACAGACCGGAAACACTGATTGATCTATACCAAAGTATTTGGCACATAGCAGTTTCTCCACCCTTAATCTTATTGTTTTTGTTATCTAACAATGACTTGCATATGAATTCAGATGATATGAAACTGAGACATATTTGCATTGAGCTTACATAAAGCAAGATCAAGCATTATTACCATTGCTCTGTTCGAACTCATAGATGGAACATTTAGTATCCAAGTTGATGCTGGATATATGTTTCGATAGAAAGACTTCAGAAAACCATACAAGCTGCTGCTTATATGTTTAAGTTGAATGTTAGCCAAATCCAACAATCCGACATATATTTACATTTTGTCACCAAATGATTACAAAACTCTCAATCCAGAACCAAAAGGTAGAATTCGAACAATGATAATGTGAATGTGCAGGAGGACACAAGGATAGGAGATGATGGAAGTGGAAAACCCATGCTCCTAAGGACACTAGCCTACTCCATTCTTTCAGCTGGATCCAGCAGGACACGGGCATGTGGGAGTCAGTCCCATGCCCTGTAGCCCATGCTT